CTCCTAGTGACATGTGTTTACGTAACAGCCAGGTCTGCTGGGCCCTAGGGGGGCCTCAGTCTCAGTCCAGGCTCCGAGTGAGTTTGGAAAATCCACGCCCCGGAAAATCCACGCCTCTCTCCCCTCCCAGAAGGAAGACGGGGATGCTGCTTCACAGGACAGAAGCAATATGGTTTGGCAGATGGAGAGGGCTTCTATCGCAGGAAGGATATGGGGCAGAAATTCAAGGAGCGGGTTTTTTCTTTTGAAGCCAGCCTACAGCAAAAACGCTGGAGTGACAGAATAGGGAAGCAAGAGGGTTGAGGTGGGTAAGAAAGACAGGCCCCAGGAGAGAGGATGGGAGGACCCACCAGGAGTGAGCAGGGCAACAGGGACCAAGGGAGGGACAACAGAGCTGAGAATGCACGTGGGAGAAGCAGCAGCTGGGTCAGTCCGGTGACAATGAGACATCGGGTCTCAGGATTTCACAATAGTGATGCTGAGCTTCCAGGCCAAGCAGATGGGACCATGGGGCATTTCCAAATTGCAAGGGGAAGTTGGCCATGGGAAGAGCTCTAGCAGGGGGAATTCCGCCTGTCACGCTGAATTTAAGATGGAGGTGAAAAACCCAAGTGCATCCCAGGAATCATGGCCTTCCCATCACAGAAGGCTTCCCACAGAGATGCCCAGCTGGGGAGGAGAACCCAGCTGACCCTGCCTCTCCCTGCTCTGGGAAGGGCTCTGCAGCAGACGCTCCTGGGCTGGCCCACCAGGTCTCCTCACCCTCCAGGAGGAGCTGGGGGAGGTAATCTTGGAGTTGATCAGGAATTTCTTTACTTCCTCCAAGGGACAGTGAAGTTGCAGCAAATGGTACCTCTCCCCACCCCACCCCCTTCAGATCTAGAAGGAAAAATTGGTCATCTGCTCTCTTTGGGGCCCCAGGCTCACACAAATGCCATCTCAGGGTCCCCAGCCACAGCAGTGATTCAGGCCATTTACTCAGATCCATGCTAATGAGTTTTTGCTGTCACCTAATTAGTTCACAGCAAACCCACCCTTGAGAGGAAAGAGATAAGACTGGGTGGAGGAAAGGACAGAAGGAAGTCAGATGGGCATGTCACAGCACAGAGGCAGGATTCACTCCAGTTCCACATGGGGTCCTCTACTCCCAAGAGACCCAATACTCCTTCTGCAGCTATGGGGACCTCTGAAAGCAGACGGGGAATGTTCAAGTGCAGGAACCCGAAGAGCATCACACAAGGAGCAGGGGCAGTGCGGCACTAACTGTAAGGCCCCGCTAGTGGACAGGCCCCTGCCCACAACTCCACGTCACAGCAAAAAGCCTTGGCTCTTGCTGCATTTCCACTAAGACGGAACCCACCACCTGCTGGTGGGCGTCCCCCTTCAAACAGAACTGGAGGAGAAAGCAGATGGCCAAGGCGAGGCCCATCTGTCCGCCAGCCCTGGAAGGTCACCATGCCACTGGGTGCCTGCGGCTGCGACCAGCCCTTACCACACCAGAGGTCGTGTGGCATCTGCCAGCAGCGTGCCCCCACTTCCTATGGCCCTCGGCAGCGGAAAGCCTAGGGCCCAAAAGCCCAGAGAAAGGGGCGCTGGGCAGCGCAGTGGCCCGGGGTTTCCCGTCCTCCGACGCCGGGTGCGGCGTTCCTGGAGGTCAGTCAGAGCCCTGCAGCTCCGCGCCTGCCTCCGGAGCTAGCAGCCACGGATGCCCGGCGCGCGCGGAACCCGGCGAAGGCGCCGATGGACAGTCCGGTGCCACCCACGCGGTCGCTGCGCCCCAGCACTAGGCCCAGCCCTCTCCCGCTTGGCCTCAGCAGCGTGGGGGGTGTGCGTCGGGAGAGGCCGCCGCGGCGAGCGCCACCCTCCGGGGCCCGCGGGCGCTAGGCCCGGGAACACTGCCATCCACTAACGGGAGGCTCCGAACCCCCGCCCCACTGCGGGCAGGGCCCGGGCAGCGGCCGACAAGTCTCCCAGGTCGCGGCCCCACCTCCTGGCCCGCCTCGGGGTCCTCTGCCGCGCCCACCCTCCCTGGCCATGCCTGAAGGGATCTGGCCCCAGCCCCCCGGGGCGACACCACCTTCGCGCCCTGAAGCAGAAAACGCGTCCTCTGGCCCCAGTGTCCCTGGACGAGATATGGCGAAGCCTGCTCGCCGGCTATGCAGCGCCAATCAGCAAACCGCGTGGCTCGGACCTCAGGCGCGGGAGGACCCCCGACAGGGACAGCCTGGCCGGTCCAGGCCGTGGACCCCCGGCTAGCTCTGGAGGGGCCACCGCGCTCCAGCTACCGCAGCCCCCGGCTCCGCTCACCCTCGATAGAGATGACGTGCTCCCGGATCTGGTTCTGCAGCGCCAAATCCTCGATGCGCTCGATCAGGTCGTAGATGGCGTAGATATTGGGATGCACGGACTCGAAGCGCTGGATCTCGGCCCGGATGGCCGCCGAGTTGGAGAGTGCGAACTGCTGGGGAGGCCCGCTGGCCAGCTGCTGCGAGGGGCCGCCGCCGCCCCCGGCCCCGGGCCCCGCGCCGCCGAACTGCCCGCCGCCCCCCGCGCCGCCGCCGCCGCCGCCCCCCGGAGCCGCCAGGCTCTGCTGCTGCTGCGGGCTCTGCCCCCCGCCCGCCTGGAAGTTCATGGCTCCGGAGCCGCGGGGCCCGAGGCGGGCCCGGTCAGGGCCCGGGGCGGCGCGGCGGCGGCGAACGGGCGCGCGGGGCTGGCGGGCCGGGACTACTGGGCCGGCGGCGCGGGGCTAGTGCATGGGGGCCGGGTCCAGGGGCCGAAGCCACGAGGCGCCGCCGCGCACGCTGTGGCCGCCGCTGCTGGGCGCTTCCCGGCGCCGCGATCCCGCTGCCTCGGCGCAGCCTCCAGCGGCAACAACAACGGGACCGGGAGCGCGCGGCCCGGGCCCTCCCCCCGCGTCATGCGCACGCACCGCCGCCCCCGCCGGCTCCGGCACACGCAGCCCGAGCCCCCTCCCCGCCGCCCCCGCCCCTCCTGCGCGCCGGCCCAGCGCCCCCGCCCGTCGCTCCTCGCCAGCTCCGCAACCTCCGCCCCCGCCGCGCTCCAGCCCCGGCGCCCGGCCCCTCCCACTCAGCCTCGGCCCTTCCGCCTCCTGACCGGCCCCCACCCACACCGCCTGGAGGGCCACCCGCTCGCGGGGGACAGCTGCCCTGGCCTCCTCCCGGCCCAGCTGTCGCTTTCGCCTCCCTGCTCTTATCTGGGCGGGGTGTCCGGTCTCTGGGCTATGCCCAAGCAGTGCCCTGCCCCGGAGGGTGCTGATGAGCGCGACTGATTGGCCCAGGAGCCCGCCGAGGCCCTGCTGCTCCTAGCTTACAGAGTCTTGCCTTCAGTACCGCACAGGCTTCCTGTCCCCAGGCCCTGAAGTCAACCCTAGAGACCACCCCGCCGCTGGAGGGTTCTCTCCCTGGCTTTCTGCCCCGGCTCTCCACTGCCGGCTGCGGCTCAGAGGCTGGGATGCATTCTTAACCACTATTTCCAGTTCTCCCTGAGCCTTTCATCAGTGAGCCCCTGGAAATGACACTTTGAACTACAAAGTCCCAACTCTTATCCTCTTGTGACTGGCCTCTCCTAAAAGTCACCCCCTGGTATCCCGGACTGGGGGTGTCGTGCATCAGCGTGGCTCACAGCAACCTCAATTTCCTAGGCTCAAGCGATCCTCCTGCCTCAGCCTCCCGAGTGGCTGGGACTACAGGCATGCGCCACCATGCCCGGCTAATTTTTTCTGTATATATTAGTTGGCCAATTAATTTCTTTCTATTTATAGTAGAGACAGGTCTCGCTCTTGCTCAGGCTGGTTTTGAACTCCTGACCTTGGGCAATCCGCCCTCCTCAGCCTCCCAGAGTGCTAGGATTACAGGTGTGAGCCACCACGCCGGGACTTAACATCCCTTTTAGATGCCTAATTAGAACTGACAGCAAGAATTTGCACCAGGTACACCTGCCAAAAGAGATGCTAAGGGTAAAGAGTTGCCCCAGCAAGCAGCACACACCTGTTTTAGCACTGATGGGCTATCTACGCATCTGTCTTCTATTAGTATATGAGTCACATGTAGGCAAGGAGAGGATCTGCTTCACCATTGTATTTCCAGCATCTTGCACAATGCCTGGCATGTAGTGTATATTTAATAAATGTCTATATCATGAATGAATGGGAGGGAAAGAACTAGAGATAAGTTTGTTCCATACCTTATAAATCTAAACTGAGATTCTCAAAGCAACATTTGGGGCACTTGCTGCCACAAGTAGACATGAGCTATGGGAAGACTAGGGTAGATTATTTTTGATCAAGACTGGCCTGTAAAATTTGGGATGTGAAATCTCTGTGGCTACAGTACGGCACAGGAGCCCAGAGGAAAATCCACAGAAATCCACAGGCCAGGTTGGTACTCGACATTCTCTAAACAGTAGCATGTTAGGGACCTGGTTTCTGAGCCCAGGTTTGAGTAGAGAGAATGTACTAGGTGAGTAAACATCTATGTGACCCATACATAGTTTTCATTATTTTTTAATAAAACCATCTGATTTCTTCCTTACGATTGACCTACAAGATATTTTCTAGGAAGGGAGAAACATGCTCAAAGAGATTCAATAGGCTGGGTGTGGTGGTGGCTCACACCTGTAATCTTAGCACTCTGGGAGGCCAAGGCAGGTGGATCCTTTGAGCTCAGGAGTTCAAGACCAGCCTGAGCAAGAGCAAGACCCTGTCTCTACTTAAAAATAGAAAGAAATTAGCTGGACAACTAAAAAAAACATAGATATATATAAAATTAGCTAGGCATGGTGGTACATGCCTGTAGTCCCAGCTACCCAGGAGGCTGAGGCAGGAGGATCACTTGAGCCCAGGAGTTTGAGGTTGCTGTGAGCTAGGCTGACTCTACAGCACTCTAGCCTGGGCAACAGACTGAGATTCTGTCTCAAAAAAAAAAAAAAAAAACAAGAACTACAAAAGAGATTCAATAACCCACCCAAGGTCATATAGCTGATAGGCACAAAATAAGGGATCAAGATTTGTGCTGGGTTCCAAAGTTCATGCTTCTTTCACAGTCTTGCCAGGGGCAAGGTGGAGGAGGGGACCAGAGAAAGGCGCAACCCTGGGGACAGGTATCCTTAGACAGCCTGGTTGGGCAGCCTATGGGTACTGGTCTTTGGGCTGAAGTCAATTTGGGAGTGCAAAGTGCCTCTTGGCGTCCATGTTGACATAAGGATTAGCCTGGGTAGGAGCCACCTGAGCTCCCCAGAGCTTCATCACTGCATCACCAATACGGTCACTCTGACGTGCTCCAGATGACGTTGGTGTCTAGAGTGACAGAGGCCCGGGCTGCTGGCGGGGAAGGGAGCGGGTCCTGCTGCAGCCCAAACCTCTGGGGACTAGCATAACTCCCAAAGCCGCTCCCTGCCGACACCCAGGCGGTCAGCCGGAGTCAGGGAACCTGCCGAGCCTCGCACGTGGGTCCGCAGGGCGGCGGGCAGGGACAGCCCGGCGCCGGACTACAAGTCCCACAATGCCCCGGGCCGCGGCGGCGGGGAAGGAGGGATGCCTCAGGTGCCAGCGACCTCGGCTCTTCCAGCCCGGAAGTGCCCGAGGGGCCGAGATGGAGCTGGCTGAGCCAGGCGGTGAGTCCCCGCGCTACGACCGCGCCCACCCCGCCGCCCAGGGCCCCAGCTGGGCCCGGCTCGCCCCGCCCCGGGATCGCCGTGCCCTCTGCGGCTCTGGGGGGCGGGCAGATGGGAGGGCTGATGAAGGAATGGAGGCGGGGAGGGTGAAGATCCGGGCGGGATCTGGGGTCTGGCGGCCGGCTGGGTTTGGAGAGGCTTCCAGACGAGGCGCAGAGTCGGGCCGCCGCGGGGTGGGGTTTGAGGGGACCAGGAAGGGGCCGATTTCAGTGGGTGGCAATGCTTTGAGGCTCCAGATTGCCAAAGGGCGGAGTTTGACGTTTGGTGTGGGGGAGGTTTTGGGAAGCAGCCCCGTGCCACGGGTGGTGTGGGTAAATCGTAATGCGTGGGGGTAGGATGGGGGCCTATTTCTCTCCTTGAAGAAACTTTAGTGACAGAGTAGATGAGCTTTGGGGTGAAGCAGGTGAAAGAGTAAACTTTGGGATGAAGTGGACGGAAGAATAGATATAAGCTCTTAGGGGTGAAGTCTGGTGGAGGTTAAATTTTGGAGGCGGGGTCGCTTAGAAGGTCAAGGCCCTTACCTTGAGATAGGGTGTGGGTGAACTGGGGAGTTAAAGACCTAGAACTCAGGTTACAGACAGTTAGGACTTGGGGTTTGGAGATGGGAAGAGACATGAGGAGGCAAGTTTGGGGCAACTGGGAGCCAGAGCAGTCTGTGCCCTGGGGTGGGTAAGGAGACAGGCTTTAGGACTGTGGGAGAGTGTGGTGGGTGGAGGGCTCCTGACCAGGGAGCCCACCCTCACAGGTTCTTTGTGCCTCTCCAGCTCGGTAGCGCGGCGGGCAAGGCAGGCGCCATGACCCTGATTGAAGGGGTGGGTGATGAGGTGACCATCCTTTTCTCGGTGCTTGCCTGCCTTCTGGTGCTGGCCCTTGCCTGGGTCTCAACACATACTGCTGAGGGTGCGGACCCACTGCCCCAGCCCTCAGGGACCCCAACGTCAGCGCAGCCCGGCGAAGCCATGGCAGCTACCGACAACATCAGAGGAGAGGCCCCAGGGGCTGAGCCCCCCAGCCTGAGACACAGAGGTCAAGCTGCACAGCCAGAGCCTAGCCCAGGGGTCAGAGCAACACCGCCACCCCCGGACTCCCCACAGGAGCCCCTAGTGCTACGGCTGAAATTCCTCAATGATTCAGAGCAGGTGGCCAGGGTCTGGCCCCACGACACCATTGGCTCTTTGAAAAGGTAAGGGGGGAAGAGGGCAGGAGTGAAAGCTAAATAGAGTGGGAATGATCATGGCCACCAGAGAGATCTGAGACCTTCCCCTCATTCTAAGCTCCCCAAATCGCACACCACACTTGTTCCCCTGTGGCAAACTGACCCCTCAGAGGCCATGGCCCTGGTGGCATGTGGAGGGTGGAGTGGTGTTCTAGGGCGAAGGACTAGGGTTGCCTGAGGCCTGCTCTCTTACCCAGGTCCCTCTCTCCTCAGGACCCAGTTTCCAGGCCGGGAACAGCAGGTACGACTCATCTACCAAGGGCAGCTGCTAGGAGACGACACCCAGACCCTGGGCAGCCTTCACCTCCCTCCCAACTGTGTTCTCCACTGCCACGTGTCCACGAGGGTTGGGCCCCCACATCCCCCCTGCCCCCCGGGCTCGGAGCCAGGATCCTCCGGGCTGGAAGTAGGCAGCCTCCTCCTGCCCCTGCTGCTGCTGCTGCTGCTGCTGCTCTGGTACTGCCAGATCCAGTACCGGCCCTTCTTCCCCCTGACGGCCACTCTGGGCCTGGCCGGCTTCACCCTGCTCCTCAGTCTGCTGGCCTTTGCCATGTACCGCCCGTAGTGCCTCCACGGGCTCTTGGCAGTGCTGCTGGCCCCTCCAGACCTTGCTCCCCACGCCGTGGTGGGAGCTGCTGTCTGCCCGGGCCTGCCTCTCCGGCCTGCCTTTTCCCACTAACTTGGAGCCCAGCCCTGCGCCGCAGAGGACTCCGGGGGCTGGCGGAGGCCACTCCCTGTGACCTCCATGGCTCTGGGCCACCTCCTGGGGCTGCTGGCCCTCAGCTCCCACGGACAGTCGGCTCCTCAGGGTCAGGCACCTGCTGTCACTGCCTGGGCCCTGGGCAGAGCCGGGCAACCCCCCTGGGCCCGTCTTAGTGTTCTGCCCGAGGACCCAGCCACCTCTTGTCCTGACAGCTCCTTGGGCTGATTTAGGGACCCAAGGACTGTGGGAGGCTGGCGAAGGAGAGCTGGGAGGGCAGAAGAGTTCTCTGGAACCTGTGCAGATTAAAGTAACTGTGAAGTTTTCTCTCTTGGTGTGTGTGTGTGTGTGTGTGTGTATGGAACTTGTGGGGCCGGGGAGCCCTTGCCTACTGTGAGAAACGGAGTGAACGGCAGGGACTGGGCCCCAAGTGCTGACCAACCGGCCTTCCCTTCGCCCCTCCGGCCGCCAGGCTTTAGCTTTTGGCTCTCTGGCCCCGCCCCCGGCTCCAGCCCCGCCCCGGCGCCGCGCGCGCACTTCCTGGAGGCGGGGGCGGGGCTCACGGCGCCTGGGCTCGCAGGGCCTGCCGGGAGCCACGTCTCCGCTGGCCGAGCGCAGCGCAGGGATTGGCGTCTGGCGGCGCTCTGGGGGGTGCTGGGAAGATGGCGGACTCGGTGGCCCGCCGATGAGGAGGCCGCGGGGGGAGCCCGGCACCCGGGCCCCGAGACCGACTGAGGGAGCGACCTGCGCGGGGCCCGGGGAGTCATGTAGGGGTGGCGCCTGCGCGGCGGGCAGCGGGAGGGCAGCGGGAGCTGGCGTTGGCGGCAGTGGCCACGGTCTCCTGGCGTCCCCGGACAGGGGTGGGTGTGGGGGCTCCCGACCTCGACGACTCCGCGCCATTGCAGAGCTGCGTACTCAGGCCCCACTTGCACTCTGCGAGGTGGGCACTGCATTCTCATCTCATGGGTGAAGAGACTTAGGCAGAGAGACGGAGAGGAAGCCCGTTGTCCAAGGTCACGCCGCTGGTAAGTGGGAGCGCCCAGCATGGAACCCAGCACCGTCCGGCCTCGGAGCCAGCGTTCTGCCCTCCGTGCCGCCACCGCCTCCTGCGGGAGGGGGAGGTGGTCCGAAGGGTGCTTCGCATGGCCACTTGGGCTCCAGACTGGCACGACCACTAACCCGGTTAATGACCTCGGGCTTAGCTTAAGCGGCCTCTTGGCTGCTCTGGGCCTTGGTTTCTCCACCTGTGAAATGAAGTAATGCCTGCCCTGCTTTTTTCTCGTGGGCGTGTAAGAAGCATCAGAGAAGATGATGCATATGGAATTGCTTTGTAAATAGTGCTGTGCTGAGCACACTGAAGGATTATGATTACGATTTCAAAAGAGTGGAAGGAGGCAGAGCAGCGGGTGGGGGAGAGGACCAGAGCAGTCACAAAAGGCTGCTCTGACACCAACCCCCTCTAAATGGGGAGTGAGGTAAGGTATAGATAGTAGGTGTTTCTCCTCTTTGGAGAAAACCTCACCCCCTTTTCTGGCCCGCCCCTCAGGGTCTCCATCACCCAACTCCATGCTTCGAGTCCTGCTCTCTGCCCAGGCCTCCCCGGTGCGGCTGTCTGGCCTGCTGCTGATTCCGCCAGTACAGCCCTGCTGTTTGGGGCCCAGCAAGTGGGGGGACCGGCCTCTTGGAGGATGCCCCAATGCAGGCCCTGTGCAAGGGTTGCAGCGGCTTCTGGAACAGGCGAGGAGCCCTGGGGAGCTGCTGCGATGGCTGGGCCAGAACCCCACCAAGGTGCGCGCCCACCACTACCCCGTGGCACTTCGTCGTCTGGGCCAGCTCCTAGGGTCTCGGCCACGGCCCCCTCCTGTGGAGCAGGCCACACTGCAGGACTTGAGTCAGCTCATCATCCAAAACTGCCCCTCCTTTGACATTCACACCATCCACGTGTGTCTGCACCTTGCAGTCTTACTTGGTGAGGAGGGGTTTGAGGAGGGCATGGGGGTTGCTGGGTGCTAATGGAAGAATAGGGAAAGAGAACAGTAGAGGACCTGAGTTCACAGAGACTTAACCTCTCAGGTTTTTGCCCAGGAACTGCACGTACCCAGGCACACTTCCCTTCCTGTGATGGTAGATGTCGTGTGAGTTAAAGATTCTTTCCAGCCTCACTAAGTTGCCACCCCAGGTCCCCTCTATAATAGAGTGCTCTTGGGAGCCACTACAATTTGTCAGTTGGTATGAGATGAGAGACTGACTGTTTGCCATCTTTGTGTAAATAAGATCTTCCCCACAGACTGCTATGATACCTCACGTTCACACAATATTTTACATTTCTTCAGTGCTTGTGCTTAAACTCTAGCACACATTCCCACGCAGGAAATGGAGAGGAGAAAGGTGGGGCATTCACTAACCCCATGCTTAGAACAGAGCAGCACTGCTGTTACTAGGACTGCCTTTGACCTCTCCCTCTCAGGCTTTCCATCAGATGGGCCCCTGGTGTGTGCCCTGGAGCAGGAGCGACGGTTCCGCCTCCCTCCGAAGCCACCTCCCCCTTTGCAACCTGTCCTCCGTGGTGGGCAAGGGTTAGAAGCTGCTCTGAGCTGCCCCCGTTTCCTGCGGTATCCACGGCAGCAGCTGATCAGCAGCCTGGCAGGTGCTGGAGGGGTTTAAAGGCAAATTGGGAGGGTGCTGAGGAGGAGAAAGATGGGCTGAGGTGGAATTTAGCCAACTGGAGGGTCTGGCCTGAGGGTCCAGTGTGATAGGCTGTTCTTCACAGAAGCGAGGCCAGAGGAACTGACTCCCCATGTGATGGTGCTCCTGGCCCAGCACCTGGCCCGGCACCGGTTGCGGGAGCCCCAGCTTCTGGAAGCCATTGCCCACTTCCTGGTGGTCCAGGAAGCCCAGCTCAACAGCAAGGTGGGCTTGCCTCTCACCTTCCCATGCTCCTGAGTTATCCTCAGCAACATCTTCAAGCCCAGCCCCCTGTCCAGCTTGGTTGGTCTCTTCCTGCAGCAAACACACCAGCAGACTGCTTGCTCTGTCCCCTGGGACCCCCATCTTTGCTCACTCTCTGGCTTGCTCTACACCCATAACTAGCATGTGTGCCTGGAGCTCTGCAGTTTCCTCAAGCACTCTTAGCACCATCCTAGCTTCATCAATCCCACTCCTCAAAGCCTTCAGGGCCAGACCTCACAGAGATGTCCTCCCTGCTTGTTTGGTGACTAGTCTGCAGCTTACTACTGCTTATGCTGTTGAACTTGTGGTGTGTATGTTGAGGGTAGAGGAACTGTTCTGCTTTACAGCAATGTTACAAACGTGAAGGCCAAGCCTCCCCAGGGCTCAGCCTGCAAAAGATACTGGAGAAATATTTCTTGCTGGGTAATGAACTGCTCTTCCTCCACAGGTGGTACAGAAGTTGGTTCTGCCCTTTGGGCGGCTGAACTACCTGCCTTTGGAACAGCAGTTTATGCCTTGCCTTGAGAGGATCCTGGCTCGGGAGGCAGGGATGGCACCCCTGGCCACAGTCAACATCTTGATGTCACTGTGCCAGCTTCGGTGCCTGCCCTTCAGAGCCCTGCACTTTGTCTTTTCCCCGGGTTTCATCAACCACGTCAGTGGTATGCAACATGGTGGCTGGCTGGGGCCCCAAGGGCTGGCAGGCAGGGAAGAATGGGGAGGTCTGCAGCCCAGTGCACCCCAGTGCCCCCATCTCTGCAGGCACCCCTCACGCTCTGATTGTGCGTCGCTACCTCTCTCTGCTTGATACGGCTGTGGAGCTGGAGCTCCCAGGATACCGGGGTCCCCGCCTTCCTCGAAGGCAGCAAGTGCCCATCTTTCCCCAGCCACTCATCACCGACCGTGCCCGCTGCAAGTACAGGTGGATGGGGTAGCCTGGGGTAAGGGGAGGGGACTAGCCCAGAAGAAGACAGTAGAAAGCCAAAAGGGTCCCGTGAGCTGCCCAAGCTGACTTTTAAGTCAATGAATAGTGGGCCCCGAGGCAGCAGAGGGGTTTGCCCAGGGTAGTGATGCTGGACAGGGACACCCTAGGATGAGACTCCAGGCCCTTCATGCTATCAGTGTCCTTTTCCCTCAGTCACAAGGACATAGTAGCTGAGGGGCTGCGCCAGCTGCTGGGAGAGGAGAAATACCGCCAGGACCTGACTGTGCCTCCAGGCTACTGTACAGGTGAGCTCTGGGCGGGTGGCAGGCTGGGGAGACGGACCCCTGGCTGAGGCCACTGGCCCTTCTCCCCCCAGACTTCCTGCTGTGTGTCAGCAGTTCTGGTGCTGTGCTTCCTGTGAGGACCCAGGACCCTTTCCTGCCATACCCACCAAGGTCCTGCCCGCAGAGCCGGGCAGCCTCTAACACCACTGCCCACGACCCCGCCCAAAGGTAAGGGAGGCAGGGCACAAAGCCTTGGCCACCTTTGATGACAGCACCTGTGAACCATGTTCTTCCCCCTCCAGGGTGGTGCTGATGCTGCGAGAACGCTGGCATTTCTGCCGTGATGGCAGGGTGCTGCTGGGCTCACGGGCCCTGAGGGAGCGGCACCTGGGCCTAATGGGCTACCAGCTCCTGCCGGTGAGTTTCCCCGCCCTGCCCCGCCGGCACCCTCACTCTCAGCCGCAGGTAACCTGCTGCCTCTCCCCACAGCTGCCCTTCGAGGAACTGGAGTCCCAGAGAGGCCTGCCCCAGCTCAAGAGCTACCTGAGGCAGAAGCTCCAGGCCTTGGGCCTCCGCTGGGGGCCTGAAGGAGGATGAGGGGTTGCAGCTGGGGTTTAGGATGCCCCCCCCATGGGGGGTGACAATTTGCACTTTGGCTCCCTATGTTTTGGTTTTTCATTAAAGTCCCTTTCCTTCCCTGTTGCAAGTCTTGTTTCTGGGACAGGGGCAGGGCCGGGTCCCCTACCTCTTCTCCATCAGTGCCCCCCCACAGAGACAAAAGGCCAGGGGTAGGTAGGGGCTGAAGCACTTTACTGCCAGGGTGGGGGGGGAGAGGTGACTTTAAATTATTCACTTAAATAAAAACAAGGAAGGATGGGAGAGAGATGGGGAGACCCATCCCACAGCCTGTTCCCTCGGTCCATCAGTCCCTTGGCTGTCCCTCCGGGTGGCAGCTACACAGGCATGGGCATCTCATTGTACTCATCCACACCTTCCCGCTCATCAAACACGGGCTCTGCCTCGTTAGCATCCAGCTGTGAGAGGAAGACGCATCAGGAAGGGAAGGACAGGAGGGGCCAGGAGTGTCTGAGGGGGGCAGGGTGGAGTCCTTACACATTTCATCTCTCGCTCGGTGAAGATGCGGGTGAGCACCACCATGCGGAGTGGCA